TGCAGCGGTCCGATTAATAAATCACCAAGGTAATAGGTATTTGAACAAGTTTAATAACAAAACCAGACTCACGAAACCAAGGTTCCAGCGGAGTAGCCAGCGGAGACAGGAGAGGAAGGGAAGGGGCGCGCAGCCTTTGCCCGCCCAATATATCAGTAAACATACGCCTGAGGGCAGCCCGCCCCCAAGGGGAGGGTTTATCCCTACATGAGACCTTTGAGGCATCTGGAATTTTTAGAGTGAGAGATTAAAAATATCATTTTAGTCTTTTTTATGTGGATATTCAGTCTCTCCACACCATTTGTTGAAGACAGTATCTTTCCTCCAGTGTGTACCTTTAATAAAAATCAAATGGCTGTATGTAGGTGGAGGCTGCTCATTTGTTCCCAGGTGTCCAGACCCAAAATAATCACACAGAAACGGTATCAATTACATATTGTTTGGCCAATAGCTTAAGAGTATTTCTAGCTAGCTCTCATATCTTAAATTAACCCATTTCTATTATCCTATGTATTACCATGAGGCTTGTGGTTTACTGGCACGGTTTTGGGGTGCTTCTGTTCCTTGGCAGCTACATGGCATCTGTATGACTCTGTCTTTTTTTATCCTTTATCTCTGCTTGAAATCCTGCCTTGCTCTATTCTGCACTGCAATAGGCCCAAATCAGATTCCTTATTAACCAATGGTAACAAAAGATATTTACAGCATTCAGAGGGAAATTCCACATCACCTCCCATTGTCTGTCTAAATAAAAAGGAAGATTTTAACTTTAACATAGTAAAATTACATATAAAAAACCATTACCAAGCAAGAATTATTGCTTCAAGTTTATCTCCATTTAGTTTGATCCTGGCCCTGGGTTTGTCATATGTGGCCTTTATTACATTGAGATATATTCTTTCCGGAGCTGTTTTTTGTTTGTTTGATTTTAGAAACAGGATCTTACTATGTAGCTCTGGCTGGCCTGGAACTTGCTTTGCAGACTTCCAGGATGGCTTTAACTCAGAGAGAGCCCCTGAGTGCTAGATTAAAGGCATGTACTATCATGTCTGTCTCTCTATAGGGCTTTTGTTTTAAGGGATTTTGGCTATTGCTGTGCTGGGCTTGGGTTGAAGCACCAGAGGGAGCTGGGGTGAGGGCTTTATCTGTGGAAGGAGCAGGTGTTTCAGGTAGGTCTTGCAAGGGTGGGGTTCACGTGCAAGGGGAAAATGGGGTGCTTTATTTGTGGAGAGAGTGATTTCTTCAAGTAGGTCCTCAGATGGCAGGTAGGGTTTTTAGTATAGCCTTGACTATCCTAGAACTTTCTGTAGATCAGGCTAGCCTTGATCCACCTGCCTCTCTCTCCCAGTTTCTGGGATTATGGGAAAGTCACACAACTGAGCTTAGATTCTTTTCTTTAGGCAGGGAACGGGCAGGATCTTTTTATGGATGCCAGGCTGACCTCAAATTCCCAGCAATCCTCTTTCCCAGTCTCCCCAGTACTGGTATTATAAGTATATGTCATCGTGGTCACTGGACAGTTTCTAATAATGAGAAGCTAGTAGATATTGAATTGACATAGATTATCTTCTATCTGGGTAAAACCCAGATTTAGAAATATTACTGAGCATGTCTAATCATTCCTAGCATGGGCTTGGGGAGCAGGAACAGGGTGAAGAACAAAGAGCTAAGCTTTGGATACTGGCAGAATGGGACTCCCTAACCCTTCCCTTAGCACCCATGGAGTCTCAGTGAGCAGGAGGTCCATCTAAGGATTGCTGTCTAATTTAGAGGGAATGTTCCAGAGTGGGGTTGTAAGCTTTTGTGGCCGGACTCAAGCTTTAGTGACGGCTTTAGTTTGCTACAGTGCAGATGTGGCTTAAAGGAGACCACTGTGAACTCATCAAGTCTGAATTTTATTTCACCCAGAGGCAGAGTGATGAAAGGACATTCTTCCATGTTACATGTATCCCATGATTCTTCTGTTCTGTCCACTTGGGTTCATGCTGGGGCTATTGTGCCAAGAGTGAAGATTTTGCCTCACTCCCAGGTGCTGACTCTGCCCCTGGCCCTGAGCGTCTGCCCTTGTATTCGCAGGTTTTTGCAAGCCTCTGTAAGTATAGCAAAACTCTGTTAATTTGATGTTCATGCTCGATATTTGCAAAATAATGAACTGCTTGACAAGGTGCGAATGTTTCCTGGTGTCACTGGTTCTTTATTTTAAATTGTAGACAATATTGAAATGAAAGACACACTCAGAGCACAATGCTTCCAGTAAACACCAGCAGCAGCAATGAGTGCATTCGCAGCATGGCATGGTTGTGAAATCATATCTTTACCGTCCCTTCCTGCTCTTGACTTTATTCCTGTCTGTAGATATTTTGCTTTTTCTAAATCCAAGGTTTACAGCAACTCTGCAGTACGGGAATCCCTTGATACCATTTGTTCCGTGGTGTGGGAATCCCTTCCTGTCTTTCACATTCTGGGGATTCTTTCTTTTAAAGATTTATTTATAATGTATATGAGTGCTGTTTCTGCATGTATGACTTATGTCAGAGGAGGGCACCCGATCTTTTTACCTCCATGAGTCACTATATGGTTGCTAGTAATTGAGCTCAGGACCTCTGGAAGAGCAGCCATTGAGTGCTCGTAACTGCTGAGCCATCTCTTCTGTCCCAGTCCCATTAATCCTTACAGTATTGTCAAAGTTTTCATTTATATATATATTTTGGTTGTTTATTGTCAATAATATTTTTACCAAGCTAAATTTTTCTTTGACAATTTCACATATATACATATATTCAATTACATATACATATATTTATATATGTACACATATATGTTGTTCTTTGACAATTTCACATATATATTTCTGATTATACTTTTTCTTTGGTTTTTCAAGACAGGTTTTTCTCTGTGTAGCTTTTAGAGCCTATCCTGGAACTCCATCCTCAGATCAGGCTGGCCTTGAACTCACAAATATCTGCCTGCCTCTGCCTCCCTAGTGCTGACATTAATGTATGCGCCCCCACCGCTTGGTGAGTTCTGATTATTCTTATCCCCACTCTCTGTTTTCTCTCCCTCCCATAGCTGTTAGTGCCCCCCTCCTCTCTACAGGTCCATTTATCTTGTTTGTTTGTTTAGTGACCACTAGACTGTCTTAGTGTCCATGGGTATGGAATTGTCTAATGGAGCCTGTTGGACTCACCAATGGGAACAAAAAGCTTTAGTTTTGCAGGATATTTGACACACTGTGAACCCTGAGATTTTATTATTTGCTGGGGAAAAAAACTGTTTCTAGTTTTGGTGTGGCTCATCCCTAGCACACACCTTTAATATGAGAGCTTTCTGCCTGAGTATCATACACAGAATTACATACAATCAGCCATAGGTCAAGAGGCAGAGCAAGCAAACAGCTGACAGAAGGTGAACATACATTATTAGGAAAAAAATGTAGAAAGTAGGAGGAAGTCAGGAGGATGGATAGAGAGACTCAGAAGCAACAGAGGAGACAGACATTGAGTTGGAGATGACTTATTTGAGACAAGGAGAGGCTTCTGGGACAACAGAGGAAGAGGAAGGTCAGTTGAATGCATTCCCTCTGAGCTAGCAGGCTGCATAAGTTAAGAAAGAGCATCAGTGAGATCAAAATCAGAAAATTCTCCCATTTCTTTCGTTGGATCCTTTCTACTAACTGGCTTCCATGGGCGTCCAGGACATTTGGGGGACATTGCTTCTGGAAAGTCAGATATCAGCTTAAATGAAAGGCTATCTGGTTGCACCCGGATTTCAGGGATCAAATCATCATAGGTCTCCGTGGCATATGGTGTTGTGGTACCCAGCTCACCATCAATTAAATCTGAGTTCTGAAAGTCAGAAGGAGTAACCGCGACACTGGGCTGAGCTAGGGGAGGGCTAGTGGTGGTCCAGCCCTGTGTCTGTGTAGAGGATGTAGAGCTGTCTTCAGAAGTGCCTGCCAAAGGCTCTACTCTCTCCTCAGTGTGCTTGCCACTGTTTCTGTTATGATTTTTGTGTTTACTATGGCCATGACCATGCTTATGAACATGTTCCTCTCTATGTTTGTGGTCAAAACCGTCTTCCCTTTGGGGTTTAAGATAATCCAATTTAAGCTGATGTCTATGGCCAAGGCCATGTTGCTTCTGATGTCCATGGCCAAGGCCATGTGTCTTTGGGGGCCGATGGCCTTGGTCATGTCCATGCTTATGACCGTGGTCAATCTTATGCTTTTTCTGTTTCTCATGCCCCTCAGCGGGTCTTCGCTCATGTTCTGCATCCTGCTCTTCTTGCACCGTGGCAGTATAGGGTGGACTTACAGTTGTTCCTTCTTTTGCTTCTTGGACTTGGACTGACCGGAAAGGTGAAAAGCCTGGAGGTCTCCTCATCATCTAGAGAGGAATATTAAGAGGAGCATTGTTAGAATCAGGTTATCAATGAGGGAAGCAGAGATTAAGATCCTGGTGATGCCATTTTGGCTTACAAGAGAGTGATTCTTGCCAGATTTTAAATACAATATTAATTTTCTAGAAAGAATGAATTAACAAAATATCTTCTCTTTTAATTGTTCTTAAGATTTATGGACTTTGTGGTACTGGAGACTGAACTCCAGACCTTATACCTGTTGGCCTCAACCACTGATACATCCCCAAACTTGCCTGCCTATTGTTCTTAATAATACTCCAAGACTAAGAGTTTTTCTTCATTTGGAAAAACTGGATGGTTGAACTATGTAATAGCACACTGTTTGTTAACTGATTTAATTTCTTTCTTTCTTGTTTTTTGTTTTGTTTTGTGTTTTTGAGACAGATTTTTCTCTGTTGCTTTGGAGTCTTTTTTGGCCCTCGCTCTGTAAACCAGGCTGGCTTCAAACTCACAGAGATCTGCCTGTCCCTGATTCCCAAATGCTGTGATTAAAGGCATGTGCCACCACAGCCCGGCCTGATATCATTTCTGCAACAGTTATTACTGGTTTTATCTATAAAGGCCTGAACAGCGTCACAGTTTCACTTTTTCGGCTGAACCACCCTGGAGCTTACTCGCAAGCTTGATCACAGGGCTTGTTACAATGATTTACAGACAGTATACAAACGACAAGGACCTAAACTAGAGAGAGTGAGGTGGCAACTTGCACGAAAGCATGGCTTCGTGAATATGATCCACCTCCATTTTCACCACCTGTGAGAGGAGACAGAAGAAGCCAGTGTTCAAGTCAGATCTTCTAGCCGGGAGGATCAGGATGGAAAGGGTAAGCTCTGATCAGACCTTCACTCGATGCTGTACAAACTACCTTCACTTTTCTGTAAAAGAAAAATAGCAGCACTGCCTCCCAGGGCCCTAAGGACTGTTGAGAATATGTGAGACATTTGCTTTGCAGAGCCTGGACAAGGGATATAGTGATGTAATTCACTCTGGAGCCTCACAGCTTTTCAAATCTTTTTATTTGTCCTGTTGTTGTTGTTGTTGTTGTTGTTGTTTTTAGAGGCAGGGTTTCTCTGTGTAACAGCTCTAGCTGTCCTGGAACTCACTTTGGAGACCAGACTGGCTTCAAATTCACAGATATGTCTGCCTCTGCCTCTTGAGTGCTGGGATTAAAGGCATGAGCCACCATGGCCTGGCTGGCATTTCAAATCTTAGTGTCCCATCTTTGACAACTCACAAAGCACTATTCGCATGGGCACTCTGTAAAGACTTGAAAGAATGATGTAGAGTCACCCTTACAGACATGAACCATGTGTGTGAGCCCCTTCAAGACCTATTAAAACACAGGGTAGATCAGCATAGAAATGTATAACTTCTTACTATTTTAAAAAAGATACCCCTCCCCCCAGTTTATTTTCAGTAATGATTCATTTTGAATACCCAAATATAACTTTTTAGAATCATAGGCAGAATTGACCCCAAGCTGACCGCAATTGAGCTCCTACCACTTCTAATACTTGGCACTTGACAGTTGGTTCCACTTTGTTCTCCCAAGGTCTCATGTACACATTAGCACTGCAGCTGAGACTTTGCTGATGAGGAAAGCAGAAGCCAAGAGGAAAATTGTTAGTCATGAGGCCCGTGAGCAATGAATTTTAAAGCATCACCCAGGCCCTCTGCTACTCACACCAGAGGACTTGACCTCACAATCTTCTTTCAGTTCTGTGTTACTCTCCTTCGAACATTTGGTTTCTCTGGCTATGAACTCAATAAAATACTTCATTCCACCTACCACCTGTAAAGTTAATTAGAACAATGTTGATGGAGGTTTCTATCCCACCCAGTCCCCCAGCCATTCAGTGACAAAGAAATACACAAGGGTCTACATCAATCATAAACTGGTTGTCCTATTAGCTCAGGTTTCTTATTGCTTAAATCTTTCATCTTAACCCATAATTCTTGTCTTGTGTTAGCCACGTGGCTTGGTACCTTTCACCAGCAAGGCATTCTCATCCGTGTCCTTTGCGTCTGGGTGAAGACTGCAGACTGAGCTTTCCTCTTCTCCAATTTCTCCTGTTCTTGTTGCCCCGCCTCTGCTTCCTGCCTGATCATTCTGCCTGTACTTTCTTCCTGCCTGGCTACTGGCCAATCAACATTTTATGAAACGGGTACAAACAAATCTTTACAGGGTAAAACCAAGATAAGTTTTTAATAAGGATTAGTGTAACAAATTATACTTTTTTACTCTGATTAGTTTAAAGTTAGAATCCTGACATTTTAATTATGCACTGATCATTATAATAGTCATACTCCCCAAGCTACCAATATCTGATACAGACTTTAGGTTTGTATGAATATCTAGGATTTCTTGATATTAGTTGGGTAGAGTCCTTTACTATGTGCAAGAAAAGCTGGCTACAGTGTTTACTTTCATCCACACACATCAATTTTAAGGCACAAGAGCTGCAAACTGCATTCACCAGGAACTCAGGACTTAAGTTACAATACAATCCGAGGTATGGGAGAGCAAACTCAAATATTTTCTTCACACATTTTTTTGTTGTCTTTAACAAATACTGAATCAGTAAATTCTTATGTAGAGTAATATGAAATTAGGAAAATATTTAGATTATCTATTGCTTCTCATTATTATTATTACTATTAATTTGTTTTTCAAGACCTATTCTGGCTGCTCTGGGACTCAGTTTGTAGACCAGGTTGGCCTGGAACTTACAGATATCCAACTGCCTCTGCCTCCACCAAGTATTTGCGTTAAAGGCATGCACCACCACCACTTGGCTGTGTGGGTGTTCTTGCACGTACATCTGTGCAACCCACTGGTGCAGTAGTGTCCTCAGACCTCAGAGAAGGACATCTGGAGTTACAAGGGTTGAGGGCCACCATGTTGGTCGTGAGAATTGAACATCAATCCTACATAAGAGCAGCCAATCCTTTAAACCACTTAGCCATGTCAGAGGCCTTCCAGTTAAGTATTTAGTAAAAGTTTTTTTTAAAAAATTGTTTTTATTGAGCTATACTTTTTCTCTGCTCCCCTTATTTCCTTCCCTTTTCCTTTCCACCCTGTCCTGTGACCCCCATGCTCTTAATTTACTCAGGAGATCTTATCTTTTATTGTTCCTGTGTAGATCTATGTTTGGGTCCTCCTCATTGTCTTTGGTAACAGTTTTAAACCTTACATAATCTTGTCTATAAACAGTAGCCCATTTTGTGTTCCATTTCTATACTATAGGATTGAACTGTATATATGCGCACGTTTAGAGTATTATACAGTTAGTACAAAGAATGCATCTGTACATATTGACCTGGAAGGACAGTTCTTACTGAAAAAGGAGAATTACACACTTATATCACAATCTCATCTTACAAAAAACATCTGAAACCTTTTATAGATTTTTATGCTTTTATGGTTTTATCTCTTTCACTCTCCTTTTTTTCTTTCTCTCTTCCCCCCTCTATTTATCTTCATTTCTTCCTTTCTTTCTACTTGGTTTTTGAGACAGAGATCCTTGTGGTAGCCCTGCCTGTCCTGGAACTTGAGCTGTAGACCAGGCTGGTCTCAAACTCCCAGAGATCCACCTGCATCTTGAGTGCGGGGATTAAGAATGTGTGCCACCACCACTCACCTCAGTTCTTTTCTTGAACCTACCTACCTCTCCATTTTGTTTCCATAACACTACTACGGCAGTTTGCTTCAAAAGTCACAGGTATATGCAAACTGAATTGAGGGTTTAGTTCAGTGAAGCTGGCCCTAGGCCTTGGGGTTGGTCCACAGCACCACAAATGAACACATAAACAAATCCCTCAAAATCAGATATCTACAATTTTTTTTACATTTCTTCTTAGGACTTCTGTTAAAAGAACATTCTCAAAACTGTGCACATACATTTTCAGCATTTGTTCATCTGTGTAGAGACAGGGACAATTTCCACAGCCCTAAGGAACACCATCCACAGCCCCAGAGAATCATCATCCACAGCCCCAGGGCCAGCAGCAGTGGGGCAGGAACAGTTGACAAGAAGCAGCAGAAACCTCACTCATGGAAGATCTGGATTCAGAGCTTGGTGTCCCAACTATCAATCCAGTTTGGAGTGGATGCAAACTCTAATAGGACTAAACAGATACAGCCAAGGAAAGGTGAAAACTATATACAATATCTTTAGCAACTTAGCAAGATCTTGGCCAAGAGTCTGCATCAAAACAAGTTCCTAACAGCTAATTGAGTCCCTGTAAATTGCTACTTCAAAGGCTGCTTTGAGTGACCAGTTTAAGGAGTCAAACAAAGGCTTTCAAATGAAATTCATACTATATTCTAGTACATTTGGCAGCTAACTAAAAGTTTGTCTGTCACGGAGACTGCTTTTTGGTTTCCAGCTGAATAGTCACACAAAACTCTACTAATTACAACACTGTTTGTCCATGACTCAGGTATATCCCTAGCTAGCTCTTCCATCTTAAATTAACCCATTCTTATTAATCTATCACCATGAGGCTGTGGCTTACTGGTAAGTTTCCATTGTCTTTCTCCTTTGGTAGGTACATGGCATCTGCTTGGCTCTGTCTTCTTCCAGCATTGAGTTTAGTTTTCCTGCCTAGCTCTATTCTGAGCAGCTATAGGCCAAAGCGGTGTCTTTATTAACCAATAGTAATAAAACATGTTTACAGCATACAGAGGGAAATCAGTTGTCTGCTTCCTGCTCGCAGTATTATCTCAATGTGTTCCCTTGGCATTCTTGACACACACACACACATGCACACACACATACACTCATACACATACACATGCACACACACACAAACACTCGTACACACATGCACATACATACACACACACATACATACGATGGTGAGGTAGAAGAAGGCAGATGAATGAAGGGCTCCTAGACCCAAGCCTTGGATGTACAGTACATGGCAACCAGCAATTCTGACATCGCTAAGAATAAAGAAATTTCATCCGACAGCAGAACCATCAAACAAGAATAAAGCAAGCACAAAGAGGAACAGTATAAAGCAGCAGCCCCCTTGAGGGAGCTGGCCTGTGACAACAGTGAGTCTCAGTGCTG